CATTTTAGGTACAATGACGTAAGAGGCATGTGTCAGGAAGCTTGGAAGCTATGCCTGTGGGTACTAGGTCATAAAACTTTTTTTTTCATATTTTTTTGAGACAGTTTCACTCTCGTTGCCTAGACTGGAGTGCAATGGCAAGATCTCGGGTCACCAAAGCCTCCATCTCCCGGGTTCAAGCGATTATTCTCCTTCAGCCTCCCAAGTAGCAGGGATTACAGGCATGTGCCACCACGCCTGGGTAATTTTGTATTTTTAGTAGAGATGGGGTTTCTCCATGTTGGTCAGACTGCTCTTGACTCCCGACCTCAGGGAATCTGCCCGCCTCAGCCTCCCAAAGTGCTGGGATTACAAGTATGAACCACTGCACCTGGCCCTGGGTCATAAAACTTTTAAAACCAGATGTCTCAGGCCAGGCGCCGTGGCTCATGCCTATAATCCCAGCACTCTGGGAGCCCGAGGCGGGTGGATCACCAGGTCAAGAGATCGAGACCATCCTGGTCAACATGGTGAAACCCCGTCTCTACTAAAAATACAAAATTAGTGGGGTGTGGTGGGGTATGCCTGTAATCCCAGCTAATTGGGAGGCTGAGGCAGGAGAATTGCTTGAACCCAGAAGGTGGAGGTTGCAGTGAGCCGAGACTGTGCCATTGCACTCCAGTCTGGGTAACAACGACGAAACTCCGTCTCAAAAACAAACAAAAAAAACAGGTGTCTCGTGCACTTGCATGATGTGAATCTCACGTCTCCTCAGACCTAAGCTGTATTGCTGTGTGGACTGCTACAAGGTTTCCTGTGGAATGCCTGGCACTAGACTACTACATGCTGCTTCCTATCCTGTATTTTTCTTTCTTTTTTTTTTATAGAGACGGGGTTTCACCATGTTGGCCAGGGTGGTCTCCATCTCTTGACTTCGAGATCCACCCACCTTGGCCTCCCAAAGTGCTGGGATTACAGGCGTGAGCCACCGCGCCCAGCCTATCCCGTATTTTTCTTTCTTTTTTTTTTTGACATGGAGTTTCGCTCATTACCCAGGCTGGAGTGCAATGGCGCGATCTCGGCTCACCGCAACCTCTGCCTCCTGGCTTCAGGCAATTCCCCTGCCTCAGCCTCCTGAGTAGCTGGGATTACAGGCACGTGCCACCATGCCCAGCTAATTTTTTGTATTTTTAGTAGAGACGGGGTTTCACCATGTTGACCAGGATGGTCTCGATCTCTTGACCTTGTGATCCACCTGCCTCGGCCTCCCAAAGTGCTGGGATTATAGGCATGAGCCACCGTGCCCGGCCTAGATTGGTGCATATTCTTACAGATCTTATTCGATGTACAATATTATAATTTAAAAGCCAAATACTTTGCAGCGCATGGTGACTCATGCCTTTAATCCCAACACTTTTTTGAGGCTGAGGCAAATGAATTTTCTTGAGCCCAGGAGTTTGAGACCAGCCAAGGCAACATGGCAAAGCCCTGTCTCTACAAAACAATACAAAAATTAGCCAGGTGTGGAGGCGTGTGCCTGTAGACCCAGCTATTTGGGAGGCTGAAGTGGGAGAATTGCTGTGAGCCCAGCAGGTTGAGGCTGCAGTGAGCTGTGATCACACCACTGCACTCCAGCCTACGTGACAAAGACCCTGTCTCAACACAAAACCACCAGCAACTTTCACACAAGTGTTTCCCGGAAGACAGACTGCAGGTTTTTCAGATTTATTTTAGGGCTCTTGGACCCAAGTAAGATTAAGTAGGAACCACGGTTGTAAGGAGTTAAGAGAACCAACAGCAGCAGTTTTTCTTACCCATCAGTTGAAAACACTTGGATCTTTTTTTTTTTTTCTGAGGTGGAGTCTGGCTCTATTGCCCAGGCTAGGGTGCAGTTGTGCGATCTCGGTTCACTGCAACCTCCGCCTCCCGAGTTCAAGAGATTCTCCTGCCTCAGCATCCTGAGTAGCTGGAATTACAGGCGTCTACCACCACACCAAGCTATTTTTATATTTTTAGTAGAGACAGCATTTCACCATGTTGGCCAGGCTGGTCTCGAACTCCTGACCTCAGGTGATCCACCTGCCTTGGCCTCCGAGTGCTAGGATTACAGGACTGAGCCACTGCACCCAGCCACACTTAGCTCTTAATAGTAAACAGAAAAAATGGAGGTTGAGAAATATCTAAGCTTTTATTTCTATTTTGAGTAGTTATGCTCAAAATCACTTTCTGCCTCAGAGTCCCAGGTAGTTGTAACTACAGGTGCACACTACTGAGGTCAGCTCCCTAGTGACAAAATATATTTAAAAAGGACAGGTCTTTTTTTTTTCCGTCACGATCAGACTATTACATTTAGCAATCAACAGCATGAGTGCAAAAAAAAAAAAAGAAAAAGAAAAAAATCTACATCAAAATGCATTGTTGGAATGCTTTACACTTTCCACAGAACAGAAATTAAAATAACCTGTTATACAGTTAGTCACAAATATTTGTCTAAATCATATCTTCTTTGTAGCAGCTAGGCCTGGCCACTCTTGTGCTTGGCTGAGTTCACAAATCTGTTGTGACCTGGAGCTTCCCTGTCACTTCTCTGGCTCTCCTCTCCTGCTAAGCTGCTTCCTAATTAAAATCTGCCACTGCCATAGCTACTGCTGCTACTGGAACAGCCATAGCAACCTTGGTTTCATGGTTTGGCAAAGTATTGGCCGCCACCACCATAGAGGCCAGAGCTTCTGCCTCCAAAGTTTTCTCCCTTCATGGGTCCAAAATTTGAAGACTGATTGTTGTAACTGCCAAAATCACTGTAACTTCCACCACCTTCAAAATTGCCTCCATCATTACCAAATCCATTACAGCCATCCCCACTGCCACCATATCCACCACCACCATGGCTGCAATCAGAGCCACCACGACCACTGAAGTTTCCTCCATGACCAAAGTTGTCATTCCCACCGAACCACCTCCACGACCACCACCAAAGTTTCCAGAACCACTTTGACCTCTTTGGCTGGATGAAGCACCAGCCATCTCTTGCTCTGACAGGGCTTTCCTAACTTCACAGTTGTGGCCATTCACAGTCTGGTATTTCTGAATGACAGTCTTATCCACGGAGTCATGGTCGTCAAAGGTTACAAAGGCAAAGCCCCTTTTCTTGCCACTGCCTCTGTCAGTCATTTCAATTTTTCCATACTGTTCAAAATAATCTCTCAGGTGATGTTCTTCAGTGTCTTCTTTAATGCCACCAACCAATTTTTTTTCAGTTAAGTGGGCACCTGGTCTTTGAGAATCTTCTCTTGAAACAGCTCTCTGGTTCCACAACTCTTCCATCCACTTTGTGTGGCCTTGCTTTCATGGCTGCATCCACCTCCTCCACAGTTGCATACATGATGAACCCAAAGCCCCTGGAGCACTTGGTGTTTGGATCTCTCATTACCACAGTCTGTGAGCGTTCCCCATTGCTCAAAATGGCTCCTCAGGCTCTCATAGGTTGTTTCAAAGCTCAACTCTCCAATGAAGAGGCTCCTCAGCTGTTCCAGCTCTTTAGGAGATCTGACTTAGACATGATCGCAGTGAGAAGAAAGACTTTAACGATGCTGCTTCGCTGGCGTCCACGGGCAGAAAGGAGCAAACTGACGAACATAAGGACAGGTCTTTGAAAAAAAACTTTTTTTGAGACAGAGTCTTGCTGTTGCCCAGGCTGGAGTCCAGTGGTGCAATCTTGGCTCACTGCAACCTGTCTACTGGATTCAAGCCTTTCTCCTGCCTCAGTCTTCCGAGTAGCTGGGACTCCAGGGACAATAGGCATGTGCCTATAGTTGTGGTAACCAGCTGATTTTATTTTGTATTTTTAGTATAGATGGGGTTTCACCAGATTAACCAGGATGGTCTTGATCTCCTGACCTCATGATCCTCCTGTCTCAGCCTCCCAAAGTGCTGGGATTATAGGTGTGAGCCACCATGCCTGGCCAACATCTTTTGAGACCATTTTGGCCAGAGTGGTCTCCAATTCCTGACCTTGAAGCTTGAGTGACCTTGCTTGACCTCCCAAAGTGCTGGGAATACAGGTATGAACCACCATGCCCTTCTTTTTTTGGGGGGGGGGGGGGAGAATGGAGTCTTACTTTGTTGCCCAGGCTGGAGTGCAACAGCATGATCTCAGGTCACTGCAACCTCCGCCTCCCAGGTGCAAGCAATTCTCCTGCCTTAGCCTCCTTAGGCATCCGCCACCGCATCTGACTAATTTTTGTACTTTAGGTAGAAATGGGGTTTCATTATGTTGGCCAGACTGGTCTTGAACTCCTGACCCTAGGTGATCGGCCCACCTCGGCCTCCCAAAGTGCTGGGATTATAGGTGTTGAGACACTGTGCCTGGCTCCTAACACCTTTTTTTAAAGGTCACTTGAAACATCCTCTTATTTTACATTACGGTCATTTAAGTGTGTTTCCTACTAGAATATATTCAGACTTTGTGAAGATATTAACTACCTACCTTTCCTTCAGCATGGTACTAGTACTGAATATTCTCAATATTTATAATTTGTTCTCCCCCAAAAGACAAGAAAAATAAGGGTTTTCAAAGACCAAAGAAGAGACATGAAATAACATTCTGGTGTTAAAAAAATACATTTTTTAGGCCAGGCACGGTGGCTCACGCCTGTAATCCCAGCACTTTGGGAGGCCAAGCCGGGTGGATCACGAGGTCAAGATACCGAGACCATCCTGGCCAACATGGTGAAACCCTGTCTTACTAAAAATACAAAAAAATTAGCTGGGTATGGTGGCACGCACCTGTAGTCCCAGCTACTTCAGAGGCTGAGGCAGCAGAACTGCCTGAACCCAAGAGGTGGAGGTTGCAGTGAGCTGAGGTCACACCACTGCACTCCAGTATGGCGCCTTGGAAAATTAAACCCAAGGATGGGTAAACTTTTGAATAAATATGTACTGGGGAATGTGAGGGAAAAAGAAAGACCAGTTCCTCAATTGTTGTATTTTCTCCATTGTACCACAATAAAGAGACAGTCCCATTTTCAAAGAAATTAACTTTTATTTGAGACTACTTTTCCCCACAGGTATCTTCTAAGGACTCTATACTATATGATAACCTGCTTTATCCACTGTCTCAATACCAAAATTTCTAACAGCAAATTATACAACTGCTCTAGGTAATAAATAAGAGCTATCCTTCACTAATTAAGGTAATAAACTTCAATAAATTTTACAACAAAAAAAATCACACTTCAGTTTTTAAGTTTTAACAGATGTATTTCAAATACAGCATGTTTTACAGGAGCCCACAAGCTTTTCATCTCTTAAAAAAAAAAGACTTAATTTTTAGGGTTCAAAAATCCCGTTCTTCAAAAGATGTATCCAAGTGTTTTCTTCTATAGCTTCAAACTTTCTACACTCAACTACCTGACTGTTCCATGCCACCCCAGACAAACCTGACATGAATGAATTACTTCATATGTTACTATATTCCCCAAAAAAAAAGTTAAAAAATGAGCTACTCATAAATGCAGATCTCTAATACAATATCTAACACAAAAGAAGCTATAAAAACACAATTTTTTCCTTATTTGATTAGCCAGAAGTTTATCTCGGCAAAAGCAAAAAAAAATAATAATAATAATAAAAATACAAAGGGTAACACTGGAGTTCCTGTTATACTCAAGACATTTAACTATTCAAAATGACAATTACATCTTTAAGAGTATAATAAAAAGGGTGGAAAACAGCAACACAATTGACAAAAGTGTAGATGCTAAATAAACCAAAGCTTTTTTTTTTTCTTAACGAGTAGGAAGAATCCGAAGCTTGGGGAAATCTCAGAATTTAAAAAAAAAAAAGAGGAAAAATGTCCTTAATTGCAACCATTCCGTTTTCAGTAGCGTCCTAAAAGAAAAAAAGCAAAAAAGTAACAATTATAGTTTAATATGCCTAGTATTTTTCCAACTATTAACTGCCACCTTCCACCTTCTCCCCTAATATTCTAAAGTAAGCCATTAATTAGAAATGAGGTTTTTTAATGCTACAAATCAAAGTTCACATACTTGGGCTGTAGGAACGAGATCGTGATCGTGATCTGTATCGACTATAATAAGGAGAAGGTGATCGTCTTCTGTAAGAAATGAAAGATTACTTAGCATACTATATAATCACTCCACTGAGGCAGATGAAAGTAAAAATTTCTCAACATTCAAAATAATAAGGTACCCTAAGATGATAACTACTTAATATTCAGTTCTCTTTGGGCCAATGAGAACAGGAAGTATATGGCACAACAAAACAGTGACATATACAGTTAACCTCTGTTCCCAAAGCATCATATATAATCTATTTTAAAAACCAAGTTTTCATTTGTATGTATCAAACATAAACGTGCCAAGTAACACTACTATCATCTAATTAAGAACAGAAAGCTCAAGTTAAAACATTACCTGTACCGGTAATCATAGTCTTCATATCTGTCATACCCACGATCATAACCTCTATCATAGTAAGAATCTCGACGTCTGCCACCACCTCCACCTCCACCGCCGCCGCCTCCTCCACCACCACCACCACTACTGCAGAAAAATGTAAAAATTCTGCATTAGTTTGAGTAACTATTTTCCAGGACACTTTAATACAAACTGAATGGCTTAAAAAACAGAAAAGAAAGAACATCCCTTTTGTGCAAAATTGCCTTCATATCTCATTTTACTGACTCCCACGGTATTCTGCTTTGCCTTCTTTTTCTTTTCTCTGGGGCTCCTTTATTTGCTTTGCCTTCTTATTCACTACATACATAACCAAGAACGCTTTCACAGAACTCTCAAAACTAACTACTCTTCTATTAATGCACTGCCCAAATCAACAAAACTTTTCCAACAAATTAAAATGATGAAGCACTGTGCTGAGCAGCAGTATAAAAATGCTAAGATGCATCCCTACTGTTAAATGAGACAGGTAAAATAAATAAATAAAGCACATCCCTGTGACTAAAAGGCAATAAACACCAAGAATTTTTTGTTTTTTTTTTTTTTGAGACAGAGTTTCGCTGTTGTTACCCAGACTGGAGTGCAATGGCATGACCTTGGCTCACCGCAACCTCCGCCTCCTGGGTTCAAGCAATTCTCCTGCCTCAGCCTCCCGAGTAGCTGGGATTACAGGCGCGCACCACCATGCCCAGCTAATTTTTGTATTTTTAGTAGAGACGGGGTTTCACCTCGTTGTCCAGGAAGGTCTCGATCTCTTGACCTCGTGATCCACACGCCTTGGCCTCCCAAAGTGCTGAAATTATAGGCGTGAGCTACTGCGCCCTGCCTAAACACCAAGAATTTTAAAGTGACTAACTCTGGGCACCAAAGAGAATACCAGGGCTTTTATTCCCAAGAAATACCTCTGTGAATACTGCTTTTGGCTATAAAACATGATTAAAAACCGTGTGTGGCCGGGCGTAGTGGCTCACGCCTGTAATCCCAGCTACTCCAGAGGCTGAGGCAGGAGAATTGCCTGAACCCAGGAGGCAGAGGTTGCGGTGAGCCGAGATCACGCCATTGCACTCCATCCTGGGTAACAAGAGCAAAACTCCGTCTCAAAAACAAACAAACAAATAAAACAAACCCCGTGTGTGTGTGTGTGTGTGTGTGTGTGTGTGTGTGTGTGTGTGTGTTTGAGAGTCTCACTCTGTCTTAGTGCAGTGGTACAATCTTGGGTCACTGCCACCTCTGCCTCCCAGGTTCACGTGATTCTTGTGCCTCAGCTCCCAAGTAGCTGGAATTACATTTGTGTGTAACCACACCAGGCTAAGTTTTGTATTTTTTAGTAGAGACAGGTTTTGCCATGTTGCCCAGGCTGGTCTTGAACTCCTGGCCTCAAGTGTTCTGCCTGCCTCAGCCTCCCAAAGTGCTAGAATTAGAGCTGTGAGCCACTACACCAAGCTCATATTTGTTTTGATCATTGTTAAAACTGTAGCATTGGGCTGGGGCACAGTGGCTCATGCCTGTAATCTCAGCACTTTGGGAGGCTAAGGTGGGTGAATCACTTGAGCCCAAGTGTTCAAGACCCACTCGGGCAATATAATGAGACCACTTCTCTTTAAAAATAAAAACATTAAAGCTGGATGCTGTGGCTCACGCCTGTAATCCCAGCACTTTGGGAAGCTGAGATGGGGGTAATACGAGGTCAGGAGATTGAGACCATCCTGGCCAACAAGGTGAAACCCCGTCTCTATTTAAAATATAAAAAAATAAAATAAAATTAGCCAGGTATATCCCAGCTACTCAGGAGGCTGAGGCAGGAGAACTGCTTGAACCTGGGAGGCGGAGGTTGCAGTGAGCTGAGATCATGCCATTGCACTCCATCCTGGGTGACAGACTCTGTCTCAAAAAAAACAAAAACAAAAACAAAAACATGATGGCATACACCTGTAGTCCCAGCTACTTGGAGGCTGAGGTGGGAGGATTGCTTCAGCCTAGGCAGCAGCAGTGGTTGCAGTTAGCCAAGGTTGCTCACAAGGTGCCACAGGTTTTTTTTATAACCTGCCTCCAATCTTATTCTTTAGCTTATGAGGTGTGACCTTGGCTCAGTGCAACCTCTGCTTCCCTGGCTGAAGCAATCCTCCCACCATGGCCTCCCAAGTAGCTGCGACTACAGGTACATGCCACCATATTTTTAGTAGAGATGGGGTTTCACCATGCTGTCCAAGCTGGTCACAAACTCCTGGGCTCAAGTGATCTGCCCACCTCAGCCTCCCAGTGTTGGGGTTACAGGTTTTGAGCCACCATGCCCAGCCTACTGTGGCATCTTTTAACATTTTTAACAAATGCTAAAATCAATAAAATCTGTCTTATACGCAGAGGCTTCCCTAGGTCACATAACAAAAAGAGAATCAATATTTAAACAGCAATATGGGCTGGACATGGTGGCTCACACCTGTAATCCCAGCACTTTGGGAGGCTGAGGTGGGCGGATCACAAGGTCAGGAGTTTGAGATCAGCCTGGCCAACACAGTGAAACCCTGTCTCTACTAAAACTACAAAAAATTAGCTGGGTGTGGTGGCAGGCGCCCGTAATCCCAGCTACTCGGGAGACTGAAGTGGGAGAATCACTTGAACCTGGGAGGCAGAGGCTGCAGTGAGCCCAGATCATGCCACTGCACTCCAGGATTGGCAAGAGTGCGAGACTCCATCTCGAAAAATAAAATAAAATAAATAAATAAAAAATGAGCACCATATGCTATTTTACTAGTATCGAATAATTTTTCTGCTTGTATAGTACTAAGAACTGAGCAACGTTTGGGGAAAAAAAGCCAGGACACACTTTTGATAGTTTTAATTTATTCTGTTCCTTAAATATATGTGTGTAAAAATAAAGACTGGCTGAGGCAGGTGGATTACAAACAAACAAAAAATGCATTTAACTTTTAACTCTATCCTGGCACGGTGGCTCACACCTGTAATCCTATACTTTGGGAGATCAAGGTGGGCAGATCACTTCAGCCCACAATTTCAAGACCAGTCTGGGCAACAAAGCGAAATCCCACAAGGTAAAACCCCATCTCTACAAAAAAACACAAAAATCAGCTGAGCATGGTGGCATGTGCCTGTAGTCCCAGCTACCTGGAAGGCTAAGGCAGGAGGACCGTTTAACCCAGCAAGCAGAAGTTACAGTGAGCCAAGGGGCTCCATGGCACCCCGGCCTGGGTCACAGAGTGAGATCCTGTCTTAATCCCACCCACCTTGCCAAAATCAATTTTAAATACGGGAAAAAAATTTTCTCTTCTGAATAATCAAAAATTTGTACATATTTCTGGTGGATTTCTTAGTTTAGTTTAGGATACTTGAACTCTTACTGGGTTGGTCTGCCCATGTAGATGCCTGGTGTAGGTGTGTGCGCTCTCTTGGTGATAGAATAATCCACTCGAATTCTTCTACCATCCAGCTCCATTCCATTTGCTCTTTCCATAGCCTATAAAGGAGAACAGGCACAGTAAGTTAGGTATAGTTAACCAGTCTTGAAGTAATCATTAAGCACAAAGTATTTGTAGTCCAGATAAACTCATGATTTTGAAAACGACAGCAATGTAGCTTGTACAGGGCGTTGTATAGACAATTATAGACCTCAACAATGTCCAGAAACATTTTAATTTACTCAGTACAAACAGTACTTAACAAAGTTTCCCAAATAATTTTACAGTTCTGGTTCAATTTCCACTTCCTACTCCATGAGATTAACAAGAGAAATGAAGATTGAAGTCTCTTCAAGATAAATTTTTTTGTAGGCTGCCCAGGTAGACTGCCATTTCATACTGTCTAGTCTCCAGCAATTTCATGTACAAAGACTGATTTCAGAACATTAAAAAGGGTTAGCTAAGCTTTATACAGGTTCTTTTTATAATGTGCCCCCAATAGTTTGTAGTCTAATATACTGATAAGACTCAGCGAGCAGCCAAGAAGACATGATCCTAAGAGACAAGTATACATGTATGATAATGCCTTTCAGCTTTTTACTGAGATTGAACTAACAGAAGTACAATAAAGTAATAAAACTACACAATTTTTATGTATTCACAAGTATTTCTCCATAAGACTCCCCCATAAACTAAAGGTCATTAAAGAGACAGGCTGGCAGTGGCAAGATCATAGTTCACTGGTCTCAAACTTCTTGGCTTATGCAATCCTTCAGCCTTAATCTCCCGAGTAGCTAGGACCTGTGCCACCATGCTCGGCTAATTAAAACAAAAAATTTTGGTAGAGAAGGGGTTTAAACAGTATTCCATTCAATGGACTGCATGGATTCCATCCTTCCATCCATCCATCCATCCACCCACCCAGCCACCTACCCACCCATCCGAGATGGAGTCTCACTCTGTCGCCAGGCTGGAGTGCAGTGGCACAATCCCAGCTCACTGCAACCTTAGCCTCCCAGGTTTAAGCGATTCTCCTTCCTCAGCTTCCCTAATAGCTTGGACTACAGGTGAACGACAGCTAATTTTTTGTATTTTTAGTAGAGACAGGGTTTCACCATGTTGGCCAGGATGGTCTTGATTTCTTGACTTCGTGATCTGTCCACCTCAGCCTCTCAAAGTGCTGTGATTACAGGTGTAAGCCACAGCACCCGGCGTGCATGCATTTATTTTGTAGAGACAGGGTCTCAATATGTTGCGCAGGCTGGTCTCTAACTCGTGGCCTTAAATGACATTTTTCCACCTCAGCCTCCCAAATTGCATGAGCCACCCTGCCCAGCTTAATTCTTGAAGATCAAGAGATTTCTCTTTGATCTCTTTCAAAAGAACAACTCTGAGAGTATTATTTGTTTCTGGGACAAGTAATACCCTCAGAGTATTAAAAAAACTACCCAATTTTTTTCCTATTCTCTCACATACACACATATATATTTGTAGAGACCAAGTCTCCCTGTGTTTCCCCAGGCTGGTCTCAAACTCCTGGGCTCAAGTCATCCTCTTGCCAAAGTGCTATTAGAGGCGTGAGCCACCACACCTGGTCCAGTTTTTAAAAAGAACATTATATCACACAAATGTCTGCAAAAGCAAAACTGCAACAAATTTAACAAATTTTCCATTTGAAGTTTCAACAATCAAAATTCTCGAAGTTGATCTCTCCTCACCTCACTCTAAGCCTCAAAAAAAGAAAAAAAAATCTCTTAAGTACTTCTTACTGTAACAGGGTGAGAAGCTTATGTATTTATCTTAACCATATACACACTATTAGTTTTGTCGCTTCAGTGAAATTTTCAGAATCAGGGAGTAGTCAAAAAGGAATAAAAATTTTTAAAAGATTTAAAAAAATCACTTTAGACAAGTGCAGTGGCTCATGCCTGTAATCCTAGCACTCTGGGGAGGCCAAGGAGGGCAGATCATTTGAGGTCCGGAGTTTGAGGTCAGCTTGGGCAACAGGGCGACCAAAAAAAAATTACAAAAATTAGCCAGGCAAGGTGACGTGCACCTGTTGTCCCAACTACTCAGGAGGCTGAGGTGGGAGAATCACTTGAACCTGGGAAGCAGAAGTTGCAGTAAGACTAGATGGTGCCACCACACTCCACGCAGCCTAGGCGACAGGGCAAAGAACGAGACCTCATCTCAAAATTAAAAAAAAAAAAAAATCACTTCAGAAGGCCTGTCCCTAAAGACTGGGGGCAGTCTCAGCCATTGAGAAGAAACCATACAACATGCCTTTGAGGTGAGGATTCAACCTGGGCAACTGAAAAGAGGAACTGCAATTTAGCTGACAAGCCTAGTCAAGCCACTCCTTAACTAACACATTGCCACCTAGTGAACTTAAAGGAACTTCTATGTAAAGGAACACTAAGTAATTGCTCCTGTTTTTAAAGTTACCATTTTAGTTTTTTTTTTGGGAGATGGAGTCTTACTCTGTTGCCCCGTGCAGTGGCAAGAACTAGGATCCTGCAACCTCCGCCTCCCAGGTTCAAGCAATTCTCCTGCCTCAGCCTCCAGCGAAGCTGGGATTACAGGTTCATACCACTATGCCAGCTGATTTTTGTACTGTAGTTAGAAATGGGGTTTCACCATGTTGGCCAGGCTGATCTCAAACTGCTGACCTCAGGTGATCCACCTGCCTCAGACTCCTAAAGTGCTGGCTGGGATTACAGGCTTGAGCCACTGCACCCGGCCTGCCATTTTAGCTTTATTTAGAAGTGTAAGTCAGGGAAGGGGAATCAAGAGATATACATGTTTCACATTGAAAAAAAAATTAAACTGTGTTCTTGTTTGCACTTTGTAACTTTTATTTCAGGTCAGATATCCTAGTATTTATAAATTGACACCTTCCTTGAGAACAGAAATACACAAATTACAAACATGTAACAGAAAAAAAAAAAAAGCCATAAAACAGACAAATTTAAGGCAGTAACGTGCCTATGACATAAAGGACTTAATAACTGAAGTACTAGTTTATTAGTTACCCAGGGTTTCTCAACCTTAGCACTATTGACATTTTGGACTTACTGAGTCTATGTTATGGGGTGCCAGATTGTATACTGTATGGTATCTAGCAGTATCCCTGGCTTCTAACCACCAGATGCCAAGAGGTTATTGTTTTTGAAAGATAGCCTATTAAGGTCTAATAAAACTTATAGATACATACAAATATATATATTTTAATTTAGAAGACAGAAGAAAAGGTGTAATAAAACTTTAATAATGAGCTTTAAATTCCTTAAAACGCAATTTTCTAAATCAATTATCATCAACTTTTAGTAAAGAGATAGTGGCTGGGTGCGATGGCTCACGCCTATAATCCCAGCACTTTGGGAGGCCGAGGCAGGTGGATCATGAGGTCAAGAGATCGAGACCATCCTGGTCAACAAGGTGAAACACCATCTCTACTAAAAATAAAAAAATTAGCTGGGCATGGTGGTGCATGCCTGTAGTCCCAGATACTCAGGAGGCTGAGGCAGGAGAATTGCCTGAACCCAGGAGGCGGAGGTTGCGGTGAGCCAAGATCGCGCCATTGCACTCCAGTCTGGGTAGCAAGAGCGAAACTCTGTCTCAAAAAAAAAAAAAAAGAGAGAGAGAGAGAGAGAAAGTGAGCCTAGGCCAGGTATGGTGGCTCACATCAGTAATTCTAGCACCTTTGGAGGCCAAGACAGGAAGAATGCTTGAGGCCAGCAGTTCCAAGACCAGCTCAGACAACACAGTGAGACTCCCTGCAAAAATTTAAAGCAAGCCTACCACTTCCTTTATAATACCTAATATGTTAGAATATCACTATTTTAAACCACTGATATTGATTAGTTCATTATATTAGACAAGTTAAGAAATGGCACTAAAGGACTCGCATTGTGGCTCACACCTGTAATCCCAGCACTTTTGGAAGGCTGAGGCAGGAGGATCACCTGAGGTCAAGAGTTCAAGACCAGCCTGAGGCCAACACGGTGAAACCACATCTCTACCAAAAATACAAAAAAAATTAGCTCAGCGTGGTGATGCACGCCTGTAGTCCTAGCTACTCAGGGAGCCAAGATCGTCCTACTGCACTCCAGCCTGGGTGACAGAGGAAGAGTCCATCTCAAAAAAACAAACAAACAAACAACAACATACTAAAAAGTGTCAATTCTTTTCATGTACTATTTTTTCCAATTATTGAACAGAATGACACACAAATATTTAGAGAATAGAAAAATGTTCCTTCCTCATTATAGATATACAATTAAATATATCAAATCTAAACATCATAGATTTTTAAAAGTTAATTTAATTATCTGTTTAGAGCATCAATATGGCTTATTCAAAAGAGAACACTTAAACCATACACTTTTCCCATTAACTTAAATAAGTATAGCTCACTTCACATGACCAGATTTCAATTAGGATATGCCAAGTCAGAGAGCATAACTGAAAAAAGTGAAACAATGGTCACTCCAACTGTAATCCTGAGAGGCAGAGTGTCAATCAGGTCAGAATTAGAAAGAACACAATAGGCCAGGTATGGTGGCACATGCCTGGAAACCCAACACTCTGGGAGGATCACCTGAGGCCAGGAGTTTGAGACCAGGCTGGGCAACATAGTGAGACCTCATCTTTCAACAAAATATTATCTGGGCATGGTGGCCCACATCTGTAGTCCCTGCTACTCAGGAGGCAGAGGTAGGAGGACTGCTTGAGCCCAGGAGGTCGAGGCTGCACTCCAGCCTGGGCAATAGCAAAATCAGCAAGATCCTATATTGAAAAGATAAAAAAGAGGACGCAATGCTAACGGAAATAAGTCTGTTAATCAACTTTTCACACTAATTCAGTACTATCAGGCATATAAAAGACAACTTAAATTTACCTCCTTTGAGTCATCTATTCGCTCAAAATATACAAAAGCAAATCCTCGAGATCGCCCCGTTCGCTGATCATAAACCACATTGACACCACTCAATGGTCCATATCGAGAAAATACTTCACGAAGATCTCTCTCTGTTGTGTACAAACTGAGGCCAAACACTCCAAGGCAAGTGTTGGGATCTGGGTTTGCCTATTGAATAAAAATATTAAGTCCAAATTAAATCAAAATTATAAAAACACAGAAATATTTTGTTTAGAACACCTCATCCAATACACAATAAATATAATGTTTCTAGTTATTTGGAGATAAGATTTTTTTTTTTTTTTGAGACGGAGTTTCGCTTGTTACCCAGGCTGGAGTGCAACGGTGCGATCTCGGCTCACCACAACTACCACCTCCTGGCTTCAGGCAATTCTCCTGCCTCAGCCTCCTGAGTAGCTGGGATTACAGGCATGCGCCACCATGCCCAGCTAATTTTTTGTATTTTTAATAGAGACGGGGTTTCACCATGTTGACCAGGATGGTCTCGATCTCTTGACCTCGTGATCCACTCTCCTTGGCCTCCCAAAGCGCTGGGATTACAGGCTTGAGCCACTGCGCCTGGCCTGGAGATAAGATTTTAAGAGAACGAAAACAGATGAACCATAGTTTACAATTCATAGTGCCCTCAAGGCCTTCTTTGGGATATGCTTGCTGTTTATAGCCTGAATTAAAACATTCCTACTCTCCAGCCCAGCAAATTTTTATAATGTATCCTAAAATTGTTGTCATCCCAGCACTTTGGGAGGCTGAGGCAGGTGGATCACCTGAGATTAAGAGTTCGAGACCAGCCTGGCCAACATGGTGAAACCCCATCTCTACTAAAAATACAAAAATTAGCTGGGCATGGTGGTGGGTGCCGATAATCCCAGCTAACTCCAGAGGCTGAGGCAGGAGAATTGCTTGAGGGACATGGAGGCTGCAGCAAGCCAAGATAGCGCCATTGAAGTCCAGCCTAGGCAACAACAGTGAACTGCATCTCAAAAAAAAAAAAAAAAGTATCCTTAGTTTAATTCCATCTTTCTAATTTATTCAAATGCTTTACACCACTTACAGATTTGTACCTAATTTGACCTCATCTGTAACTGTTCATTTAGACCCCCTCTCCTCTATTTTCTTTCTTTCTTTTTTTTTTCCCCTGAAACAGGGTCACACTCTGCTGCCCAAGCTAAAGTTTAGAAGCCTGATCACGGCTCAATGTAGCCTTGGGTCTCCTTGGGCTCAGGCAGTCCTCCCATCTCAGCCTCCCAAGTGGTTGGGATTACAGACATAAGCCAATATGCCTGGCCCATTTTCATTCTTTAGCAAGGATATTCTTTCAGTGTTCCCATAATCCAGATTTTAGGAATAAATTTATAGATTTCAAAATATTAAATAATGACATGCTCTACCACAGTTAAGTTAGTCAGTATCCTGTGGGAGAAGCATAGCACAGCATGTTAACATGCTCTAAGAACTTCAGAGTCAGGCAGCCTGGTTGAAACCTAGACTGCCAGTTAGCAAAAACTAAACCAAAACCCCTTCAATGTCATGCATCCAAGAATCAATTTCTTTCTTTCTTTTTTTTTGAGATGGAGTCTTGGACTGCCACCCTGGCTAAAGTGCAGTGGCGTGATCTCAACTCACTGCAGTCTCCACCTCCTAGGTTCAAGCAATTCTCCTGCCTCAGCCTCCTGAGTAGCTGGGACTACAGGCAGGACCCACCACTCCCGGTTAATTTTTTTTGTATTTTTAGTAGAGACGGAGTTTCACCATGTTGGCCAGGATGGTCTGGAACTCCTGACCTCAGGTGATCCATCTACCTTGGCCTGCCAAAGTGCTGGGATTACAGGTGTGAGCTTTTTCTTTTTCTTTCTTTCTTTTTTTTTTTTGAGACGGAGTTTTGCTCTTGTTACCCAGGCTGGAGTACAATGGCGTGATCTCGGCTCACCGCAACCTCCGCCTCCTGGGTTCAGGCAATTCTCCTGCCTCAGCCTCCTGAGTAGCTGGGATTACAGGCATGCGCCACCATGCCCAGCTAATTTTTTGTATTTTTAGTAGAGACGGGGTTTCACCATGTTGACCAGGATGGTCTCGATCTCTTGACCTCATGATCCACCTGCCTCAGCCTCCCAAAGTGCTGGGATTACAGGTGTGAGCCACCGCGCCCGGCCAGGTGTGAGCTTTTTAACTACTTTTTAACACTCAAAAGTGATAAAAAGAAAAATATACTCCTGGTCGGGCATGGTAGCTCACACTTGTAACCCCAGCACTTTGGGAGGCCAAGGAGTGGGGATCAGCTGACAGGAGTTTGAAATGAGGCTGGCCAACAGGGCGAAACTCTGCCTCTACTAAAAATACAAAAATCAGCCAGGTGTGGTGGTGGGTGCCTATAATCCCAGCTACTAAGGAGAGTAAGGCAGGAAAATCACTTGAACCCAGGAGGTGAAGGTTGGAGTGACCTGAGATCTCGCCATTGCACTCCAGCCTGGATGACAGAGCAAGACCTCTTCTCTCAAAAGCAAACAAAGAAAAAAAGTAAGCTTACTAAGACGGTGGCATTTCCTTCATTTTGAAAGCTAAAACAGCTTATTAAGAATGTTTCCAGGGCCAGTAGCAGTGGCTCGTGCCTGTAATCCTGACACTTTGGGAGGTCGAGGCAGGTGGATCACCTGAAGTCAGGAGTTCAAGACCAGCCTGGCCAACATGGTAAAACCCCACCTCTACCAAAAACACAAAAATTAGCTGGGCATGGTGGCGGACACCTGTAATCCCAGCTGCTCAGGAATCTGAGGCAGGAGAATACCTTCAACACAGGAGGTGAAAGCTGCAGTGAGCAAAGATTCTACCACTGCACTGCAGCCTGGGTGACAATAGCAAAACTGTGTCTCAAAAAAAAAAAAAAAAAGAATGTTTCCAGAGTACCACTTCTAAACAATGGCCAAGCTCTCCTAAAAGCAAGATATGCCATGACTAAACATAGGGAAGAGAAAATAAGTCTTCATTAACTTTTATAAACCACATACCCTGCTGCCAGTATGTCTTCTCCGGTTAGACATTGGAGAATGGCTTCGGCTCCTTCGCCGCCGGTATTCTGGTGTATATGATCTACTTCGAGATCGTCTCCTATGAGAGTGAGAGTGGGATCTGGATCGAGTATAACGTCTATGAGAATGCCTCCTTGACCTTGACCTTTGAGAGAAATATATTTAGGTAAAAATACTGAAACAAAATGGCTAACGTCCTTCCCTCTTCCAAGGAGGTATACATATATCCCTACGTATTCTCAGGTCCTTCCTTGTTTCTGAGGAAAGAGTACTCTTCCTCTTTTCACTTAATCCCTTAAGTCACAACATCTTCTATTCTGTTCTCAGTCAAGCCCTTCCACATTCACCCTTTTCATCTTACCTTACAAAAATTTTAAGGCCCTACTTTCTTTAAAAACGGGGAAAAGGCCTGTAATCCCAGCACTTTGGGAGGCCGAGGTGGGTGGATCACGAGGTCAAGAGATTGAGAGCATCCTGGTCAACACTGTGAAACCCTGTCTCTACTAAATACAAAAAATTAGCTGGGCATGGTGGCGCGTGCCTGTAATCCCAGCTACTCAGGAGGCTGAGGCAGGAGAATTGCCTGAACCCAGGAGGCGGAGGGTGCGGTGAGCCAAGATCACGCCATTGCACTCCAGCCTGGGTAACAAGAGCGAAACTCCGTCTCAAAAAAAAAAAAAAAAAAAAGGGAGGGGGAACACCCCAACTACTATTATTAAATAAAATCCTTTGATTCTTAGCTAAACACAGTGGCATGTGCTTATGTTCCCAGCTACTTGGAAAGATAAGCAAGAAAATGACCTGAGCCCAGGAGGACAAGTCCAGCACAGGTAACATAGCAAGACTCCACACCTCTATTAAAAAAAAATAAAAAACAGGCCAGGCACAGTGGCACACGCCTGTAATCCCAGCACTTTTGGAGGCCAAGGCAGGCAGATCATGAGGTCAGGAGATTGAGACCAGTCTTTACTAAAAATACAAAAATTAGCCAGGCATGGTGGCGTGTGCCAGTAGTCACAGCTACACGGGAGGCTGAGGCAGGATAATCGCTTGAACTCGGGAGGTGCCAGACCAATTTTTGTATTTTTAGTAGAATCAAAGTTTCACCAAGTTGCCCAGGCTGGTCTTGAACCCCTGACCTCAAATGATCCACACACCTCCGCCTCCCAAAGTTGAGATTATAGGTGTGAGCCATTGCGCCCGACCCTTAAAACTTTTATCCTATCTAAACAAACCAACCAACAAACAAACAAAAAACAAAAAAAGTTGGACGTGGTGGCTCACACCTGTAATCCAAGCACTTTGGAGGCCAAGGTGGGCGGATCACCTGAGGTTGGGAGTTCAAGACCAGCCTGACCAACATGGTGAATCCCCATTCTAAAAAAGAAAGAAAGGAAGAAAAAAGAAACCTTTTATCCTACCCCAGTACACCTGGGACATTTGACAGTGAACTTTGCATTGGTTTACTATAGCGTTATTGTTGTCTGTGATGGTGGGGCTCTGAATCAGCTGAGGACTTTTCTGCCCTACATCTGACCAGAGCTCTACCCCGGACACAGAGTCAGAATCTTCAGATAAAAATGTAGTTGAAATGTAAATGCTAAAAATGCTTCTCAATAGTACTAACCAACCAGCATAACATACACACATGAATGTTCTTTGCACTAAATTACATGCGAGTCTCCAATGCAGAAAACTGCCTTTTTGTTGTATAAATATTGTTGACAAACAAAAAAATATTGTTGGCATAAAACCAAACATTAATTCTCAAATGCCAAACACATTTAAATCAATAGATATACACACATAATTTGTATTGGTTGCAAGTATCCAATATATTAATTGGGCTGGGAGATGATTTTATTACTAATTTCTCATTTTTTAGAGACAGGGTCTCTCTGACAGTCAATGCAGCTTGGAACTCCTGGGCTCCAGCTGTACTTCCAAGTCTTCGTCTGGGATGTAGCATTCATTTATAAAGTGCAGTCTGAGAAAAACTACTTCATAATTTTGAGTCTTTCGTGAAATTTCTACACAAAATGCAGCCAAAAACTGCTTTGTCCTCAAAAACCACAGAATAATTTTTTTTTTTGAGATGGAGTTTCACTCTTGTTGCCTAGGCTGGAGGGCAGCGGCCCAATCTCAGCTTGCCACAACCTCCGCCTCCCGGGTTCAAGTGATTTTCTTGGCTCTGCCTCCCGAGTAACAGGGATTACAGGCATGTGCTACCATGCCCCGCTAATTTTGTGTACGTACATATGTATGTACACACATACACACATACACACACATGCGCACGTGAGCACACACACGTTAGTAGAGATAGGGTTTCATGTTGGTCAGGCTGGTCTTGAATTCCCAACCTCAGGTGATCCACCTGCCTCCCAAAGTGCTGGGATTACAGGCATGAGCCACCGTGCCAGGCCAGAATATTTTAAGTATTATCTTAAACACACTTACCTGGATTTTGATCTTGATCGAGAATGGGATTCAGAGTGTTTGGAAACCCTTGATGGACTACGAGATCCTGACCTGCTCTCCGATTTTACACGAGCAGGAGTTCCCGTTGGAGATTTTGACTGAGAGCGAGACTCCTAACAAAGAAGACAGTATTACAAATGGCACTGGTCATGTAGATGCCTAACACCTAACATTTAAAGTACCGTAATTATTTATATTGATTGCTCCTGAAAAACAAATGGTTAGGCAACACCCTCCAGAAAAAATTTCAGCTCAATAATAACCCCTTGTTAATACTGCTAACTGTCCTCAATAATTCCCTACTTGAACCAGATCACCAGTTCTCTATTAACTAAGTAATCATGCAAATTCATCTACAACTTGATCATACAGACACTGGAACATAAACCATACATTTACTTAACCTAGGACCCATTCATTCTTCCAGATTCTTTTAATTCTACTTCACTCTTGCTTTCTACTTCTCTTCATTCTTCATTTTTTCATTTTTCATACTTCGTGTATTCTTCCCCAATTCAAACAATTCAAAATAGCCTTAAAAAAAATATTCAAGTGCTTCTATCTGACCAATCTTCTGTTCAATTTTTTCCCCCATTCAATTTTAATTTTCTGATCTTTAATACTTTTCATTAGCCTTCTTTTATCTTGATTTATCTTCCACATTCTTGGAAAAAACTCTTCAATTTCTTCACGAACATTAACCTTAATGGAAAAAGAACATTTAGTATATTTAAGCACGTGGGGATTATAAAACTCTGCTGGAGTTCAGAATGTTATCTACCAAATGGAAAGCCAGCAGGTAAAGTGCAAATAACTAGTTTATTTAAAAAAAAAAAAAAAAACAATTTTATAGTCTTTAAAATTGTTCAAAAGTCTAGTTTCTAACAAAGAGAATTTACTAAATTTCTCTAAATGTTTTTTACCATACTCTTCACCCTCCTCCCCTTTCATGTTTCATTCTAGTTCCTAAAATGTGAACAATTTTAATATAAATAATTCAAACATAAATCTAAACAACTGTAATTTCCCCCCCACCTAAGTGTTAAATTTTCACTATTTTATAACCTGAAGATTCTTAAAAGAAGCTTTCACTAAGTCATGCTAAGAAATCAAGATATAGTTAGAGTGAGGCAACCCAGGCTGAAATATTTGTACAAACCTATCTAAACTCACCCATAGCACAGATGTCAAGGTTCAAATTAGTCAAAAAGAAAAAAAAAAATCAGTAAAATTACACCTTCTTCCAACTTTGACCACTATCTTTGCTCATTCTGACTTAAAATACGTTGTGAAGACAAACAAGCATACTGAAGCATGAAATTCTTAAAATTTCCCTGTTAGTTTAATTCCTGATACATGCATTTTTGCAACCATGCCACTTTAAAATGCTCTATCATCCATGAAATACCACAAGGTGCAAGAAGGTACAAAATTTACATCATAGTCTTTATCTTTGACCCCACCCTCTTTTGTTCCATTTTTACACAATTAATGCATTTATGTATACTGGTACTCCCTTCAGTGACTATATCTTACATCCAAAAAGTGATGAGTTTCTGAAAAAGTTGGATGTAAATCAAAGCATTCCAAACAAAATAACTTACTGATCACAAACTTTTTTTTTTGAGACCAGAGTCTTCCTCTGTTGCTCAGGCTGGAGGGCAATGGCACAATCTCAGCTCACTGCAACCTCTGTCTCCTGGGTACAAGCAATTTTCCTGCCTCAGCCTCCCGAGTAGCTGGGATTACAGGTACACACCACCATGCCCAACTAATTTTTATATTTTCAGTAGAGACAGGGTTTCATCAGATTAGCCAGGCTGGTCTCAAAACTCCTGATCTCAGATGATCTGCCCGCCTCAGCCTCCCAAAGTGCTGGGATTATACGATGAGCCACTGCACCCGGCCCATAAACTTGTTTTTTTTAGTTGACAGATATGAGGCACTTATGATCAAAACAGGATGGACAGCTTGGTTTCTATGTCCAGTTAAGCCTTGATTATTAGTGTAAATAATATCTAAATTTCACAGAAGTAATTTCACAGCAATTTTCATTTTTGCCATAAGACTATCACACAACTCAAATAGCTTTCTGAAAATCTTTCCTTTGCTTCAAGTTTAACGTCAAGACCTGTACTAATGCCATCTGGTCATTTTCTTTCAGATAAAAACAAAACTGAAATACATAGCTACCTTTCTGCTAAATACTAACTTTTCCCATTTCGCTACCTACAAGTCTTTCACTGCATCTTAGATACTCTAAACTACTGAACAGAAATCTGGAGCATGCATAGATATTTGGGCTTTTTCATTTGCTAAAAGTATGAAAGCAGCATATTCATTATCTTATAAAAAAGGCATAGCTAAATTTACTTGCAACTGAAGTTTCACAGACTGGTTCATTAACCAAACTGATAAAAATATCTTGCCCTCTTCTGTTTTGGCTTTCCTTCCTACAAAACAGACCCAATGACATAACAGTCATTTATGCTACTGCTGAACAGGAACAGCTGGATTATTATTTATGAACACCACTAAAGACCTTGTTATACCTACATATCAGGAGGCTTTGCTCCGTAAAACACTACAAACCTTTAATTTTACTAGGATGGAAATAAAAACCTTTAATTAACATAAACAAGATAATTCAGTCCAGTTTTGGAGTAGCAACAAAGCATTACAGTATGACAGAATGTCTTTTTAAGACACAATAGCTTTATTTTAATTAACTAATTAATTTATTTATGAACGAGTAGGAGTAGTCTTGCTGTCGCCCAGGCTGGAGCATAGTGGTGCAATCTCAGCTCATTACAACCTCCACCTCCTGAGTTCAAGTGATTCTCCTGCCTCAGCCTCCCTAGTAGCTGGGATTAAAGGCAAGCACCACCTTGACCTGCTAATTTTTGTATTTTTAGTAGACACCAGGTTGTCTCATGTTGGACAAGTTGGTCTCAAACTCCTGACCTCAAGTGATCTGCCCACCTTGGCCTCCCAAAGTGCTAGGATTACAGGCGTGAGCCACCATGCCTGTCCGACATCAGCTTTATTTATTTATTTATTTTTATTTTTTGAGAGAGTCGCACTCTGTTGCAGGTTGGAGTTTGGTGGCACGATCTTAGCTCACTGCAACATCTGCCTCCTGGGTTCAGGTGATTCTCCTGCCTCAGCCTCCTGAGTAGCTGGGACTATACTACAGGTATTGCGCCACCACACCCAGCTAATTTCTTTTGCATTTTTAGTAGAGATGGGAGTTTCACCATGTTGGCTCATGGCCTTGTGATCTGCCTGCCTTGGCTTCCCAAAGTGCTGGGATTACAGGCATGAGTCATCACGCCAGGCCAGCTTTATTTTTAAAGAAACTTTGCTTTTTATTATAGAAGGTATCACAAATACCTAACCTCCTTTGTTATCAGCCCTTCTCTCTTTTTATTGGGGGAAAATCTCAGTCTGCATAAATTTCTCCACAGAACATCAAGGTTTAAAACATTGCTTATTCCTCTTAGCTTTCTCTAACTCCTAGCTACAAAACTGTCGCTATCATTTTAGCTCACTTTTTTTTTTTGAGACAAAGTCTCGCTCTGTAGCCCCCAGGCTGGAGTGCAATGGGGCAATCTCACCTCACTGCAACCTCCACCTCCTTGGTTTAAGATTTTCCTGCCTCAGCCTCCCAAGTAGCACAGATTACAGGTGCGTGCCACCACACCCAGCTAATTTTTGTGTTTTTAGTAGAGACAGGGTTTCACTATGTTGGCCAGGCTGGTCTCAAACTCCTGAGGTCAGGTGACACCCACCTCCCAGCGTCCCAAAGTGCTAGGATTACAGGCATGAGCCACCACACCCAGTTTCATTTTAACTTTCAAAAACAACCTACACACTTATATTAACAAGTCAGTCAGTAACTGTTAGTAAACTTAACTGGAAAAATAAACTGCCAAGTATGTAGTTATTTAGAAATAAAGTAACATTTCTCAAAAGCTGTTACTAAATAAATGCCATTTTCACTGAACTCTGCATTAGGAATCAGGCTATAAGCACCTTATATATAGAGGACAAATGCTAGATAATCCTTTTCTGACTTGTCTTCATTATAAAATAATTTCAGCTTTTTTCAAATAAATTCATAAACTAACCATAATTTGGAAAGGAATTTAAATTGCAAGCAAGCAAGCAAACAAACAAACAAAAACAATACTGTTAGGAATGGGTGGTATCTGACATTTCACTAGACTTCCTGTTCTTAAAGCTGTTCAGTCAAGGAATTCTACCAATTCCTCAGTAATCTGGCTCCTGGATCCAATAACCATTAAAAATACACTGCCCAGTTGAAATGGGCAGATTAATAACTCAAAACTCTTATCTTAAATAGGCCTCCAGTCATCTTAGATGCTATAAAGCAGAAGCCAGGCAGAAAAGTTCTTCACACAGCACAACCTGCTCAAACAGGTTTCTGTTTTGATGTTGATTTGCTTGTTCGGTTGGTTTTTCTGTCACCCAGGCTGGAGTGCAGTAGCACAATGTTCTCATTGCAACCTCCACCTCCTGGGTAGCTGGGATTACAGGCACCCGCCACCACACCCAGCTAATTTTCGTATTTTATGTTAGTAGAGACAGGTATTTACCACGTTAGCCAGGCTGGTCTAGAACTCCTGACCTCAAGTGATCCACCCACCTTGGCTTCCCAAAGTGCTGGGATTACAGGCATGAGCCTCTGCACCTGGCCTGCTTGTTTAGTTTTAACTATTCTTTATTATTAAGATGCCCCTGCTGTTGATTGAAGGAAGTGGCCAAAAATTAAAAGGAGGGAGTTGAGAACACTAAGAAAGGTGTTTGCAGCTGCCGTCCCTCTCCAATGCCAGAGCCGCCTCTTGCTCGCCGGGCTCTAGCCGAAGGAGAAGGGGGGTAAGTAAGGAGGTCTCTATACCATGGCTCAGTACAAAGCAGACTGCCCACAAAGCTATTGGTGGTGAAGCACCCAGAAAGCAACTGGCTACAAAAGCCACTCGCAAGAGTGCACCCTCTACTGGTCGGGTGAAGAAACCTCATTGTCACAGGCCTGGTACTGTGGCACTCAGTGAAATCAGACAGATGTTATCAGAAGTCCATTGAACTTCCGATTTGCAAACTTCCCTTCCAGCATCTGGTGCGAGAAATTGCTCAGGACTTTAAAACAGATCTGTGCTTCCAGAGCACAGCTATGAGTGCTTTGGAGGAGGCAAGTGAGGCCTATCTGGTTGGCCTTTTTGAAAACACCAACCTTTGTGCTATCCATGCCAAACGTGTAACAATTATGCCAAAAGACATGCAGCTAGCACACTGCATATGCGGAGAACGTGCTTAAGAATCCACTATGATGGGAAACATTTCATTTGCAAAAAAAAAAAAAAAAAAAAAAAAAAAAAAAATTCTCTTCTTCCTGTTATTGGTAGTTCTGAATGTTAGATAATTTTTTCCCCATGGGGTCAAAAGGTACCTAAGTATATGATTGCGAGTGGAAAAATAGGGGACAGAAATCAGGTACTGGCAGTTTTTCAATTTTCATTTGTGTATGAATTTTTAACATAAATGTGGAGATGTAAAGTATTAATGCAAGTTAAAATGTTTCAGTGAACAAGTTTCAGTGGTTCAACTTTATAATAATTATAAATAAACCTGTTACGTTTTTCTGGAAAAAAAAACACTAAGAAAGTACTATACTGTATCTA